CCAAAACTCACTACCAAAATGGCCTACCTCCGACCAGTAAGGCCTAATATCAGGTCGTTCAGTATGAAATGTCCGTTTTTCAGAAGTGCATAGTTCGAGAGTCCGTATCTAAGGCAAAACGCTCCGGCAGTCCTTGGTACTGAGTTTTGGTAAAGGTGCAGCTCCTCTTTTCTTACCATTCCGGTGGACCTCCGGCTGCCGTGGAATCTGACTTTTTTAGAAAGGTTTTTGTAACGACATGGACAAGTCCAAATTGCGTGTTGTCTTGGAGTACGAGTTCCGCCGTGGAAGCACCGCAGCACAGGCAGTTCGGAATATCACCGTCGTCTTTGGAGAGGATGCCCCTAACGAACGAACAGTACGTCGATGGTTTGCAAAGTTTGAATCCGGCGACTTCGATCTTCAAAATGAGTCGAGAGGACGGCCCGAGTGCAAGCTGAACAACGATGAGCTTAAAGCCGTAGTGGAAGCTGATCCCACTCAAAGTACTCGAGAATTAGCGGCAAAGTTTGGAGTATGTAAGGTGACGATCTCGTCTCATTTGAAGCAAATTGGCAAGAGTAGGAAGCTGGACCGTTGGGTACCGCACGACTTGAGCGATCGTCAGAAGAGGGTCCGCCTTGAGGCTTGCCTTTCCTTACTTTCTAGGCAAAAAAGCGAGCCTTTCTTACACCGTCTCGTCACATGTGACGAGAAGTGGATCCATTTCGATAACAGGAAGCGGTCTTACCAGTGGTTGGACAAGTCGGAACCGCCAAAACCTACGCCGAAGCCGGACCCTCACCAGAGGAAGACTATGGTATCAGTTTGGTGGTCCTCCGCAGGAGTGATTCACTACAGCTTTACGAGACCTGGTCAGGCGATCACGGCGGAGGCGTACTGTCAACAGCTGGAGGAAATGATGGAGAAGCTTGCTGTTATGCAGCCGAGAATGATTAACAGAGACCGACCGCTCCTACTGCAGGACAACGCTCGGCCACATGTGGCAAACTCGACCTTGTTAAAATTATAAGATTTGGATCTTAGGAATCGTCGTTCATCCCCCCTCTCTTACTCTCCGCACCTAGCACCGCTACCAGAGTTAACATTTTCCTTCAGCTCTTAGATCACTTCTTGCCAGGAACCATATTATTACCAATTCTTATGATTGATGTAGAAAGTGGCCTTTCACTGATTTATTAGCTCTGCTTCCCCCCAAATTTCTAATAGAGATGGAAAATTGAATAAGTTCCTTTAAATAGGCAGATGGTGTTTGATAACTTAGGATCATATTTTGATTGATTGTAATTTGCGTTGTATGAGATATGATAAACTGAAGTTGACTCTCAAAAACGGACATTTCATACTGACGACCTAAAGTATGATCCGGATTTCTACGCATAACGCCAAGAGGGCAGGTAACCGTCGGAGTTCGGGCTTGGCTGTAAAAGCAATGATTGCATTCTTCAAGTTTCTGCGAAGGCACGTCGATCCAAGTATGTTTCGTAAACTTGTTCCCTATTATTAACATAGAGTGTGTTCTATCTGAGCAGATGCCGGAGAACGTAGAAAAGGACTGGCAAAGGAGGCTTGTAAGTCTTTGCGACATTACTTGAAGAATCTGAAACGAGAAGAACGGTCAGCTGCATCGTTCAAAGGGATAATTCCTGCAAGGAAACCAGTGAAGGTAGCGTTCGAGCCAGAATTTAATAAACAAGCTTATTCATTCCATTTTTGGTGCTCTCTAGGGCTACGTGGTGTATGCTGCGATGCGGGCGGTTGTTGACCACAGTGTCATCGACAGTATAATCGAAGACATAATGAAGTTGGTGGCTCTTTAAGGGTACGTGGTGTATTGCTTGCGATGCGGGCGTTGTTGCCCACATGTGTCATCGACTCATATCGAAACATAATGAAGAATTTTCCAGGAATACAAAAGCTCTGCTTCACGCAGCGTATAATTTCGTAATGAAGTTTGCAGATAAAGTGTCCTAAACATAAAAGAAGAGTTGTAGCAAATACAACGTCATCATCTAACAGCGCTCTGATAGTCCTATCCCATATAATGTCCTGCAACGCGCCACAGAAATGAGGTCGCCTACAAAACCATTTGTGGCAGTGTTGTGGAGGTGAATACACAATCGATGGGTCTAATCAAGCATACACAAGAGACCAAGGACTACTGGGTAGAGTTCATCTCCCTTTACACATGGGTTTATTATAAGGTGTTTTCTGGCCAGCAAATCAGATTTTGTGTAGGTCGCACGCTTTCCTAACTCTAAACAGCGTCACATGTCGCAGCGAGCATGACAACAATGCAAAGTGGTCTCTTGTGCTCGCAAGAAGTTCGCATCCGGATGGTTTCAGCTACTACAGAAAACTTGAGCTAGTCATGCCCGCTACTAACATTATCAAGGAAATCTCCTAACGCGATTGTCTTTAAGCTCTTGTGAGCACTGTGACGAAACATCACGCCCCGCACCCACAGCACGCAGATTCTTATTGCTGTTGGGCGCGAACGCCTGTGTCATATCCTCGTCTGTTTTCCTCTTCTGAAACGCTCTTTAAAATTCCTCACTCGTGAAAAATGGCTTATCCACCATGCAAGCTCGCGGTCTAGTGAGGAACACGTCACTCGAATCCTAATCATTTGCTCAACAAGTCAACATTTTGAAGGTGAGACACGCAGCAAGCACTTCAACACCTACATGGCTCAGAAGAAAGGAGATACATTGGACTCAGCTGACGCAACATGTTGCCGTATGTTGCATGGTCGCAGTATTCTGCTGCCATCATCCTTCTGAGAAGGAACACTCATCTTTTCAGGACCACAGCGCAAAAACGCAGTTCTTCACTACGTGGACGATTTCGTAGAGCCTGCTGTGAGAGCATACCGATGTGTACAGGCGATGGCCAGGCAGCAGCAAAACTTGGACGAGAAGGAAGTGTTGGCGGTCAAGCGACGAGTGAAATTCAGAGGGTATGCACGATCACTTAGACTGTTTCGCTCATCCAATGTTTCACTTTTTACCATTCAGATTTCATGTGGTGACAGAAGAATTGTCAGAGGTAGAGGCAGAGGAGGATTGTGGACGCTACGGGACGCGATTCGCCGGAGGAGAGGCGAGGGATCCAGAAAGAATTGCTGACATCTCGTGACGACGACTCTATGTCCCCTCAAAGCCAATAGGTACTGATTGTACACCTCAAAATAGCGATTAATCAACTCAGAAATTTGTTCACGTTTACGTTCCTATTTAGGTAAAGTAGGCGACACAACCTCAGTGGAATCAAGGAAATCTCCAAGAAAACAGGCACAACCCTCATCACCAGTTAATGGTACCTATTTCATAGTGTGGTTGTTATTAGTTTCTTAGCGGCAGCAATAATCGGAGCTTCTAAAACGAAAGACAATTTCGTTCGCTTCGCTTCGTTGATGGCGACGGCGGAAAATGCTACCCAGTAAAACCTACTAACGTACAACTGATTTACCTAGAGCAATTCGCGCTGTTCTAGGTTCGCGCATGTACTCCTGAGACTGAGGAACCGACGCCTGCTGAGGAGTTCGGCAGTGGAGAAGTGCTGCACTTCAGGACGAGAAATGATGAAATGTGGTTTGAGCTGCTTTCCGACCCACGGTTGGAAGCTGCAGCACGCACTCGAAACCATGCGTCAATATCACGTACTGCAGCATCACTAGGCATTGTGGGTTCTATGTAAGTATCTCCTTTCATTATTTTTCGCACTTTTTCTTTATTCACGCTTTACTTTGCGAAAACTACTAGTTCTAGTAAGCAAGTAATCAAGGTAGAGCAAAACAGCGTAGAGTGACGTTATTCAAATTAATCGATTAACCAAATAATCTAGCAACTTCGCCACCGGTGAGAATTCTGCTTTTTATTTTGATAGTGCTTTTAGTTTTGGTTCTTTTTACTCATTATTGCTTTTGTTCCACTTCTTTTCAGGGCATCCAGATCTGTTGTAATTATGTATAACTTCCTATTATTCATTTTTGTTGAATTTTGCTTCGTTCCTTGCTAGGGAAATGCTCTTTTATATCTCAGAAAATAGGCTACTACATCTTAAAATCGAGTAACAGGTTGACACATTCCGTAAATATAGGAATTCTGAATGAATTTGTATTTTTGTGTGAAAGTGTTCACGTTCCTCATTTCAGAATTCTCTAATCTAGAGGATTATAATCGCTTCCAGCAATTCCGCATAATTTTTCTGAAGCTTTTAGGGCTGCTCAATGCATGCGACGATTTCCTTTTTACCAGTGTTTTAACGATGTCACGTTTATGAAATCGGTGCCAAATATATCTACGAGTGTGGAGGATGTGGCCAAAAGTGAGTATTCAGAATTTATTGCTGAGGTATTACCCTAGTATTACTCGAAGCATGGCGGCTTTCGAGATTAATCGAACTGGCGATGGTGAGGCTTTTGTCGTATGTTGGTACTGCGAGATGTACCATGTTATTTTGTATGCGATGATGGAATAAGGCAACGTGAGAGGTTCCGCAGCAACTGTACCCTATTCAGTCAGGAGACATAGTTTACTGGTCGTCTCGAGAGTGCTCCCTATGAGCAATAGCATTGACCCCAGGCGGGACCTCAATCACGCTTTCTGGACGATTGTGTTATCCGTTACACCACCAGGGATGCCTCTTGCACAAGAAGCTTGGCAGCTTTTTTGTCGTAGCTGACGCTCACACACTTAACATGCGAGCCACTCAGTCATGTCGCTAGATATCGGTATTGATCCGCGAGGCCGAAGGTTTCCACAAGAAATGCTATTTTTGCGCTTAGCCATTTCGTGGGTTTGTGGAATCCGTTCCTTGTATACAAGGAACATTCGAAAGCGTTTGGTAGAGCGCCAATGACCTGTGACTTCAGTCTGGCGACGCCTCTTACGGTCACTTACCCCATCTTATCATGCGAAGGTCGTTCAAAGTATTCTCGGTATATTTAGCAGTGACGGAAGAATTTGCATCATTCCAATAGGTAACGACGAGAGTATAAATACGAAATTCCATTTAGTTATCATCAGTGCTGTTCTATTCATAATTTGTTGAATGAGACCAGAATGACTGATGCGACAACATTGAGGAATTATTACTGATAAAGAAAAATGGAGAAAAATAAAAGAATTTGAGAACTGATTAATGATCTCTTCTTGTAACCCAACCAAAGAAAGAGATCATAGTGGAAAGCGATTTTCTGACGATGAAGAGCTGAAGGTAGCAATCAACGCTCACTTTGGGACAAGGAGGAAAAATATTTTCAGAGGGTATTGAAAAGATAGTTACCCGAGCAAACAAGGGTATTGAGGTTATGGGGGACTACATTGAAAAATAAATTTTATTCAGAATTTTCTGCCTTTTCCTTCATACCTATACCGAGAATACATTGAACACCCCTCGTACACTCCTTATCCCTGAGCCAGAGTAGGCGTGGCATTTGAACATGGCACGGAACTGGTTACTCGTGGAATATTCCAGTCTGGGACAACTGTCATCTTGTTTGGACAGAGACACGACAACAGTTGTGTCAAGATGGAAATATTCCACCAGAAGCATAGACACCTTCAGGTTAAGTTGAAGAATGCAGCCCCGCCTACCCGATCTCAGGGATCTCGAGTATATGCATAGATATCCGCCTTCAGGTCTGTACTACTATGTGCTTTGTCGCTCGCAGTTGTCAGCCTTTCGAGGTGTTTTCGATTGGTCTTTTTTCTCTGCGTGTTTTTAAAGTCTGTTAGCCTATCCAGGTTCGTATTTGACTGAGCTCGAATCACCTATCGCTAAAGCCATTTCACCCCTGACGCTCTTGTGAAGATTTCCCCTATTACCATTAATCAGTTCTTGAATGCTTCTAGTGACTAGAAAAGTAGCTGAGCAGCCGGCCGCTATAGTTAACGATAGGCTTCAGAATCATTTCACATCGCTTGAAATAACTGACATATTGTGGTTTTTTCTTTCAGAGTGAAGCGCCATAGTTAAACGCCACCACTCCCTCACCTCGTCGACGAACTGCCAGCGTATAGTTATCACTCATATCTGATGTGAAATAGTTGTGATCACTGTATCGCTCAAATCTGATCTGCTTACGCAAGCTGAGATTGCGAAATGCCAGTGCTACACCAATAGTGGAGAAAGTAGCTAATCAATAGAATCCTGTCTACGAGTCGGTATGGATTAATATAGGGAGGAGCATTACGAAATTTTGTTAGCACCTCGTACGGTGCTAGTTATAGTCCAGTCGATAAGGCTTCGATCGATATCCTAGAGACTGCCCTCGAGGTAGCCTCTTACACTGGGGTCAAGTGCTTTGTAGTTCCTTCGGTACGGCTCCTATGTCGGGCGTTGGATCTCTGGCGTGTGTCTAGGAGTGTTCTGTACGATCAGCTATCGGAAGGTTAATTGCATTTGGACAACTGCATCCTTTGGTAGGTGTGATGAAGTATAAAACCATGATCAGGTGGCTCGGACCACATCACCTAGCAGTGAGCACGTGAGATTTATGGAACCCTCAGGGGGTCCTGAGTAGATTCCCGTGATACCGAGTGAGGTGGCGATGCAAGGATTGTTTCGAAACAGTGAGCAACAACATAGAAATGAAAACAATACGCTAGTAACCAGTGGCAAGTGAACGGGTCAGGGCACAGCATTCGATGGGGATTTTGGTGAAGCCCGTACGACCCCCCTTTTTGGGGGTTCGGTACGACCCCCCTATACCTAAACTTATGAAGTTTCTTCCCCCCCCCCCGAGGAAGAAACTTCATAAGTTTATGTATAAGTAAGCGCGAAAAATGGAAAAAGTAACAATCCTGAATGAGGCCCCCTCGCTTTTTGCTCATTTCTATCCTAATTCAGAAAAGAGAATAGAAAAGAAAGGCCTAACATAGGAGAATCGGAGAAATGGCGTGCTACTGAAACTGGTCTATTCCGCAGCTTTACATGACTTTACAGATGGAGAAAATTTGGGTAAGTAGTGAGGGGTGGCCTCATCCAAGTGATTGGCTAGCGGTCAAGCGAGAGTTGAGTAAACAACTACATTTACAACAACAACTAACTATATAACACAAACAAGAGCAATAAATGCACTAAAGCAAAAAAAAGAAAGAAAAACAATTAATTAAACATTAAACAAACGAGCAAAGCAGTCGTCGAAATCAGCTGTTGTCGAGCATCGATTAGCGTATCGGGGGAAGGGATTCTGGGCAGGACCAGCCATGTGGAACGCGAGTTTTCAGCAAAGTGGGGTGTCTTTGAAGGACCATAACTTCCTCAAAAGCGGACCTGTGGGGAAGAGGAGACCGTATTCGTGTAGAGGAAGGTTTGCACTTCCTAAAAGTACTGAAACGTTTATGAAGGTCGCAAAAATCACAGAGAAATCTGCCATGGGATTCGTTGGGGAGTGATTTCAACTGAACAGGTTTGAATCAATATATTTTTGTAACTCAACATTTCACAAATCTGAGAACGGTTTCGAGTGTTTGAAGATTTTCTCTTTCTAAAAACCTCTTGAACTGTTTCTGAAGTTCTCGGGATTCATGAGATCTCGCGATGGGGATTTCTTGGGGAACACTCCCAGCTGCGCGAAAAACCCGTTTCCTGTGTACCGTTTCAAGTGAGCGTGTTCGAATAACCAGGAACGCATGAAAAACGTATCCTGTGGTGGAGCAGGAGCAGAATATGGTTCGTTTAGCGCCGATCACGCTGACTTTGGATGCGCCGCGCACTGAGGTCCGCGCAGAAGTGATGTGTAACTTGTGCGTAATGTCTGTCCACGTATGCGGGAAAGGACCCGCACTAACAAGCTAGCCGCCGCTGGCCGATCTCTTGTAGATATGTAGTAATGTGTACTTAATCAATGTCAGTATATTACTCGTGTAAGGCCCACACATAATGTCATCATAGCCTTGAAACAAGCGACTTAAAATCATCTCAACCTAAGTATTAGCACGGCTCACTAAAATGGGTCATGACTCATCACAGGGTACGGTAGCTATACGGTAGTACACTGTTTTCTATAAGATCTCTTGACTCAGAGTAGGAAACGCCGCAACTCTAAGTTGCATACCATGCCATATCAATAGCCAGATTTCCGTTGTAGCAACTTTTGATTCTTGTTGTTTTCGTCATCAAGTAAAGGT